ATGAACTGTTCTGTTGTAAAGAGGGTGGTTATCTGGGTTCTCTATATTAATACATTTAATTTTAAGGTGTTTGTGAGTGATAATGATTTGTGTTAAGAGTTTAAGTGACCAGTGATTGTGTTTTTGTAGGGCTCTTCTTTTTTTGTCTAAATCAGGATTTTATTTATCTATTACAGCAATTTTGACAATAATAAATGTATAAAGGATCATATAAATATAGAAGGAAGTTTTATTACATATAGTTAGAGAATTGAAAAGATAATAACAATAATGAAAAGTGATCTGTCTATAAAACAAATTCAGACTACTAATAGATGGATCTCAAATACAGTTAGGTTGTATATTAGAGTGATATATATAATTAATTTAGGTATGTTAAGTGTTATGGGTTTTTAATTATTATTAAATAGTATATATAATAGTGTATTGATATTTTAGTAATGATATTTTGAAAAAAAAAATAAAAGAAAAAAGGAGAGAATGAATGGGTGAAAAGACAAGAAAAATAATAGAAAATAATACTCTATAAGTATCAATATATTATTCTTTGACTATTTAAGAGACAAAACAATAAAGCTGCTCAATACAATAATATCAAGGCAGCTTTTGTCTCAAATCAGCCATAACTAAGCATGTGACATGCCCTATTACAGTCACATGGGTAATTATGGTAACATGGCTTAGTATGACGATCATATTAGTAATAGAATAGACTTAGTAGAATTATGAGGTAATATTTACAATTAGTATGTTGGAATCAGTAATAATGACGTGTTGAGAATTAAATTGATTTGATTATTTAAGTACTTGTATTGAATAGAGATAGAGATAGCTATTTCTTTTGTGAACCAGATTTTTAGTCTGGTTTTGTCAATCCCTCCCACCCTACCCGTAATCATTGGAAAAGTATTAATTCGTTCAATTTGAAGTTTGTGAATAGATGGTCTGTCGTGAAGACAGTCATAAAAAGTTTATTATTGGTCTTGTCACCCAATTCAGAATAGTGTATCATTAACAAGTTATGGCCTGTCGGGACGACAGTCATTTTAGAATTTGTAAAAAAAAATAAAAAATAAAAATCGTATTCGATTCTATGAAATTTGCATGGGGTGCTCGACGTGGAAGGAATAAAACCGTATGTTATTCTTTGACTATTTACAAGCGTATGAGAGACAAAACAATAGTGATGGCTATAGATTTTAGATAAACATACAGTAGATAAATGTGATTACCATGATAGTGATTTATCTAAAGTAGCGCCTGAATAAAATTAAGCCCGCAAATTAGACCTTCATGTATGCATTAAGTCATAATTTTAGTAAGGGCGCTACTTGAGATATATATAGTAGCTACTTTATATAAATCGCTACTTTAGATGCAACAGTTGGCGATGGTCATGACGGTAATGGTGGTGATGGCAACATTAACAATAGCGATAGTGTCATTTCGGTTTTGTCCGAAGGTAGAGTCGAAACTGAGGATAAAAAAATATGTCAAAACTTCAATATTACTATCGATCTCTGGGCCAACATTAAACCTGATTCTCGGAAAAACATCATCCAAGTAAGCTTAATACTATCAACATTTCAAAAGGCTATGATAATGGTTACTACATCCAAACGGGAGGCTTAACATCAAAAGTAGAATTTTGGTTTCAGTAATAAAAATAGTAGAAACGCTATGGTAATATTAAACTAATGAAATTTGATCAATTTGATGAGACCAATGGTATTCAATGGTCATATCGATTTACAAGCAGTGATTTATGCAATAACAAAGAACTTAGGAAAAGCATTCAGACGAAAGATCCCATTTTGGTCATTGATATATTAAAAAAAAGATGTGAGGGTTTCGTATTACCATTATACAAGTGCTTGGTTGTAAGAGAAACCATAATTTTTTCAAAAACTTTCTAAGACACTGGAGCTGTTAAAACAATATCTCAGTCTTGTTCACAAACTTGATATTTTTTTTGTCAAGATCTCAAATTTCAATTATGAATTATAAACTTACAAAAATGGTACACAGTGCACAATATCACACTCCGAAAAACAAATGCCTTCCCCTTCGAAAACATAACGTTGAGTTCAGACTTAAATTATTACCAAGCTTAGCGAAGAAGCAGCAAAATAATTTTTAAAATAAAAAAAGGTTGGTATCAACATCCATGATTATTTGCATTTATTATATAATATATATTTTTTTATCCTGTTTAAAAGTAGAATCCTTAGAATTGAATTAGCTTTGCCATAAAACGATTATTTGAGTATGTTGAATCAGCTGGTTAATTAGAAATCGAAGTATTAATTATAATAATAATATGACAATTGATTCTTGTAAGACATTTTAATAAATTAATTTTTTCATGTAATATATTTTCTTATATTTAATATGATAAATAACAGAACAGGAGTACCGTTGATGTTACTTCATCTGGTGTGCAACATATAACAATACCATTTTTATTATGGATTATAATTATAACATACGGAATGATCTGGTATTATAAAATGATTTTTTTATATGCGTGAAGGATCAGTCGTGTAATACCGACGGTTCTTCTTGTTATATAACAGTTATATTTGCGGAAATAAAGGCCCAAAAAATGAAATAATTATATATAAGGACCCATATTTTGAAAAATATCACAATCAACTGTAGCTAAATTTTTTATTAGGTAGCTGTGCGACGTAGTCGCGCTAAAACCAGGAACGTGAAGCTTTTAATTACAATATATATAAAGAAAAAATATAAAAAAGGAAATTTTCAGTCATTGCTTTAAAAATATAGTATGATTATAAGATAGATCATTTTCATTAATTATTTTATCGCCAGTCATTTCATTGATAAAGCTTGAGTGATAATAAATTGTTAGTGTTGGGTACAAAAACTTTAATATGAATGTATTTAGCCTAGTCAATAAGCATTTTTTACGAATAACGAACAATCTATACTAATATTTTGACACTGTGAAGATTTATTTGTCTATTTTCTATATCTTGTGATTCCAATGATAGGTGAGTTCATAATTTCAAAAGCGAATGGGTAAGTTAGTGATTTGCAACGATGAGATGATTAATGATCTTAACGGTGGGTAGAATAATAATTTCAACTGTGTGCGTTGGTGATTTTAAAAATGGGTGAGTGATTTGAACAGCGAGTTTATTATTTCAGTTAATATTAATGGGTTGTTTTTAGCGGTAAGTAAATTAGTAATTTAAATACGTAAGTTAATGAGTGTTTATGATTCGAGTAATGATAAGTTAAAGATTTTAACAAAGGGTGGCCAGATTTTAGCAGAGATTTGATTAGTGGATTTGATAACGATGGAAGTAGGGATCTGCAACCCGGGCTCGTGCCTATGCCCAACAAAAATTCAGGCATGGGCATGGACATGAAAGCTTTGGCATGGGCATGAACGCTAATATAAAAATTTGGCATAGGCATGGGCACAGGCACAAAAATTTGGCATAGACATAGGCACAGGCATGAAAACTTGGCATGGGCACGGGTATGGGCACAAAAATTTAGTATTTATTAATTAATTATATGTTTGGTACTATTTGGCACTTGTGTCTGGCACTTTTTGGCATCTTTTTGCCTAGCATATTGTGCCTATGCCTATAAAGTAACTGGCATTTGTACCCATGATTATAAAAATGCCTGGCATTTGTGCCCATGTCCATAATAATTCCTGGCACTTTTGAGCCTATAGGTATGGGCATGGCATGAGGCACTAGTGCCTGGCATAGTGCCAATTTGCCTGGCATGGGCATTTGCAGAACCCTAGATGGAAGTACATACAAAATGTGACAACTATGATACGCAGACCAATCGGAAATTAGATTTTGTATCTGCACGTCATTTCACTTCACTAAGCCATACTATTATAGCTCACCATTTACAAGAAAAAAGCACTTGCTAGTCATTTTAAAAGATCAATTAAGATTTTTTTAATTGCTAAATTTTAAGTATGTTACTATACAATTATAATAACTGATATAATAACTAGACAATTAAAAAAAATATACATAAAATTATATATAAATACACGATAAATTTAATAAAATTTGCTCATGTATACTAGACTCCACATGACAATCCACAAACTCAAAACAATGCCTATTAAACCATTGTTGTCTTTAAATTTAGTACCAATACCATTCGATGCAATTATAGCATCTTCTACAGGTACAGTAGCAGTTACTGGTTGTAACGCAATGACAGTACTTGGTTGGTAATAGGTTGTATAAGTCATTAAAATACCGTTGCTTGAAGTAGTTATAGTTGTTTCATATCCTGGGTATATTATGGTAATAGTTTGAGTAAATGTCGTAATTGTGAATTTTGTTATTGTTTTATCAGAAGCTGGTTGAATCGTTTCAGCTTTGCCATTAGTTGTGCATGTAGTTATCATTCCGGTTGCTGTTGTTCCAGTTCTATTTAAAGAATTAATCAAAATTTTAGCTTTATATTCATTTACAAAGAATATATTATCCCTTAAACCGTCAACTTAACCTAAAATATTTTACGACATAGACTACAATCCAATATAATTTGATAGCTAAATCATTATATAAGCATAAAAATTTGTACACTAGACGGTTTAAGGGATAAAGGTCAAAATACAATTAAAACGCACATAATATGACAATTTTGCGTATTTGAGCATACATCAACAATTGTTGTTGTTTCAGTTGGCAGTTTAATCATTGATGTAAGTGGTTTCATCGTCACTTTCTGTTCTCCAGGCATGGTTGTCGTTGTCATAGTTGCTACAGAAGATGCAGAAGCTACAGAAGCTACAGAAGCTACAGAAGCTATAGAAGCTACAGGAGAAACTACAGTAGGAATTATGGGAACTTGGGTTGTTATGACAACAACTGTAACTATTGTCTGCACATTAAGAGTTGAATTAATTTGTGTTGTAATTGCCATAGACGTTGTTATTGTCAACACTTCATTAGTTACTGGGGTTGCAGCTGTCGCGGGAGTTGGCGTTGTTACCGTGGTTGTTGGCACAGTTTGACTAAAACTGAACTTCACAAAAATTATTACGAAAAATAATAAAAATATCATATAATTCTTTCCCAAGCGCATATTTAGTGCCATTTTTGTTAAGCAGCCAAGGTTAGTTCATCAATAACTCTCTATTACAATCAACTCTCTCTATATGAAACTAATGGTCAAGAAAATTTTTTGGCAAACTCCAAAAATTGATGTAGAGAGAGTTGAATGTATAACTGAAATCGCAAACATTATTTATAGGTTTTCTTTGAAGATTCGTTTTTACACAACGATGATAGTGACTAAATGTTTACCTGCACAAACATTGTGCTTAACATAATTAAAAAATATAGCATATTAATATTTTCTTATTTGACAGTATAAACAATAGAACTAGTCCAAATTTGACTACTTTAATTTATTATATGTAACAATTTGTATCTCATGTTTGGTAAAATTTAATAAATAAAATAATAATTTACAAGGATATGCGATTTTTTTTTTTATAAATACTAAGGTATATATGGCTTTAGTAACTTGTTTTGCTGGCCTCTTTTCTGCTTTAATAACTATATTGTGAATGTATGTTTGATAATAAAATATTATACAAGATTGATGATTTAAACAGAACAACAATTGGGTATTTTATGTGCAAAATAATCCCAATGACTTTGTTGAAATACAACCGGTCACGGTTACGGCATAGATTACACTGTGCTACATTAGTATAAGTTACGCGCGTACTGAATCTGTGACAGGGCATGCTGATTACCAAATCGAAAGAGCACAAAGATCAGAATTTCTTAAATTTGCTTAATATTCGATATTTAAAAATGTTCCCATATAACTAAAATTTTGTGCTAAAACTTTTATTTTAAAACTTTTATTTAGAAGTCAGCCAGTAGTTCTCATAGAAAAACCTTGAGTTATTTGAAATTTTCTGTTTTCACAATGCTTTCGAAATTACATGAGAACTTGTGATTTTATTAGCTACGATCAGCATGATCGACATGACCTGTCACAGATTCAGGACGTGAATAAGTTACGTAAAATGACGTAACTTAATAATACGTAGTGTAAATTATATTTATATGTAAATAGTTATCACAGGACCCCAGGTACGTAATACAATAAAGCTAAAAGTTATGTTAATAATAAATTGTTTAGTTTTCGTTATTTTAAGAACCTTAACTTGGTTTACTTTAAATATAAATAGAGGTTCTTTTTATCATTTCCGCCAAGATTTATACGTACTTAATTCTAATACAATTTATACATAAAAATTGCAACGATAACTAATTATAAATGCCATTATGATAATTTCAAGTGATTAAAAAAAAGGACCAGCTTAGGGACTTTTCACCACCCGGTATAAATATATATAAATTAAATGTCTTAAAATAAACAAATTTAAAGTGGACAAAACTCAATTCTTAGCTTTATTTGTCATATCTGCATCATAAAAATCCAATTATAAATACATAAGATCAATTAACCAAATCGCACTAAATCACATACAACCTTACATCATTTATATTGTATCAACGTCATCATATGTATTCGTTTTATATGTTCTCAATAGAAATGTTATAAACTTGTATAAAAACAGTTTAGTAATCGAACCGAACAAGTTGATGGCATATTCAGTATGTTAAAGTACAAAAAATGTAATTTTTGATATAAAATGCGAAATAAATTCTAGTATAGTGTGAAATAAATTTTTAGTAGCATGTTAGATTAAATAACGTTTAAGAGTTTTTTAATAAAAAAATTTTTTTCAAAACCCTGCTGATGAAGGACGCCAGAAGGCGTAATTTTATTTGTAACTTAAATAAGCTAATTGGAGCAAATTCATACAGATTGTTTTCTATGCTTACATTTAAACTTTTATATAAAAATTTATTTGATTTATTATTTCTATTTAATTTGCTACCAAGAACTTGAATCTCTTATTCGATTTTTTATCACATATTCAAAGATCAGATCCGGAATTGAATTGCCCCATCTAGATTGTGTATAATAATACAGTTTCTGTGTTTGTTTAACAAATTTAAATGGCTCAGAACTATTATTCTTCTAAGTGCATGAATTAGATTCTTGAACTTCATTAGCATAATTATGTAAAGTAATTTCTTTGTATAGGACATTTGTGTGATTTTTTTGTATTATTTTTTTATTAAATTTATTTAATTAATTTTTACAATGCCATTTAAATGAAAGATGATTAATTAGACCATAATAATAAACACAAAAAATTTATATTACTGGTTATGTCTTATTGTAAGTTATGTTAACATATCTTTACAATAAAATTTAACCTAGTGATATAAAATCTTTCTGCACCTATAAGCTAGAATTTGAAATAATGATTGAGGTTTCTTATTTACAGCAATTCTGACTATGTTGATTATATTATTAAGTAATTTTTTTTAGCTATGTCTATTACATTAGAAATGTGATAACCACATAATTTACTGCAATATTAACAATATATTAATAAAACAAACTTCTTTAATTTGCTTTTCCAATTAAGTTTTTTAAAATTAAAGAAATCATAAAGATTCTATCTATTTTTATATTGTAATATCAATAAATATTTATTATGAGTTGTGTTTGAGTTAGTCCTTAAACTTCAAAATTATTACTCATTGATCTAAATTTATGTAACTTTTAAACTTTTTAATATACAATTTATGATGTTAAAAATTTATCTATAATAGGTTATAAGTAAATTATGTTTTAACTTATTTCTCAAACAGTTTTTTGTAAATCAGGTAAGAAGCGTAACTACACATGATGGTGTACTGAATGTATGTGATTATCTGAAATTAATCTTTTCCATCTAATCACACTGCAAAAAATACAGTACTAATCTCTCTTTACCCATCATTTGAATATTAACTAATCTATTAAAGGAATCTATTCGATTACATTATAATATTCTGTCGCTTTAAGTTGAACCTCCTTAATGCAATCATTAACATCCTTATTTTCACTTGTCAAATCTTATGTTATTTCTGAGAACACCAAGCTTCATTTGTGTTATATTGCTTTCAAATTTGTAATTTTCCATTAGATTTTATAATATATGCAAAATTTCCATGTCTCTGCCACGTCAATTGCAACAAATTTCTTTAGTTACGTCAGTTATAATAATTATAGCAAATTTCTCAGGCTATTACTACCTACATAATTTCGGCACTATTGACTTAACAATACGTCAATTTGACATATTTATACGTCTTCCAATTTCTGCACCTATAGTCAAAAGCAGTGTACGTTCCCTATACCAGGTAAAATCCCTGACTGTTGTTACGACAAGAGTGAGTTTTAATAGTTTCCAACCAAATTTAACTTGGTGCTGTAAGCATTAAATACAAAACCAGTGATTTACTTCAATACGCAAAGACAAGAAAATACTCTAAAGCATAACTAGTACAAGAAAGAATCCTCCAAAAAGTTCTACCTTTATTAGCGATCATGACCGTTTATGCAGAAATCCGAAAAAAAATAGCCTTAACTTTTGATTCTACAAAATGTAGTAATCATTAATAAAGTAAAGTACCAGATTTACAAAGTGTAGTAATCATTAAAAAAGGTTAATAAAGCAAAGTACCAGATTTACAAAGTGTAGTAATCATTAAAAAAGGTTAATAAAGTAAAGTACCAAATTTACAAAGTGTAGTAATCATTAAAAAAGTTTAATAAAGTAAAGTACCAGATTTACAAAGTGTAGTAATCATTAAAAAAGGTTAATAAAGTAAAGTACCAGATTTACAAAAGTTCTACCGGCATTATTGCATAATTGATTTGAATATATGATCAGAATTATAACTCATAAAATCACCGAAAATTTAATCTCAGAAACTGATGTCATGTGGTTAAAATTACAATCATCGTACAGCGTGAACTAAAATACCCTGGGTACTTTACAATTTAAGCTTTACATATGCGCATTATAGTTGGAGGTAGAGGCCTGCATTGGGTCCCGCAGCCCGGCCCGGCCTGAAGCAAAATTTTATAATTGCGGGCCGGGCCGGGCTGAAGAAAATAGGCAATTTGCAGGCCCCTAGTTGGAGGTCAGCGTAGGGGGGTATATGAGTGCCGCAGTAATAGTTTATATAGTCTAAGTGCAATCCGAAAATCGTGAGGAGTATTATAAAAGGAAGTCTTTTAGTCCACACTATAGGGTACATAAAAATCCAATGTACCAATCTTACACAAATTTACGTAAAATTACTGAAATTTAACATCTCCACTGAATGTTATGTATTGAGAGGTCCTAATTCGGTGAGTCTGTTGCTAATCGAAGGTCGGCTTCGTGTAACGTTCGGACGGCTTTCGGTCGAAAGAGGCGTGTAGATTTGGCGAGCGATTTCGATTCGGGTCTGGCTTATCTTGGATAGTCTACACTACGTCGAGACTATCACTCTACTATTCTAGAATTGTAGTATTCCACACTAGAGCTGCAGGTGAAACTAATTAATTTCACCAGGTGAATTGGTAAAACTGGTGCACCATGATATATTTTAAAAAATAAAATGGTGAAACTGGTGATATTGGTGAAATTGGTGATATTGGTAAAACTGGTGATATTGGTGAAACTGGTGACATTAGTAAAACTGGTGATATTGGTGAAACTGGTGATATTGTGAAACTGATGACATTAGTAAAACTGATGATAGTGGTAAAACTTATGATATTGTTGAAATTGGTGATATTAATAAAATTGTGATATTGGTGAAACTGATAATATTACAAATAAGTGATTTATTAACTGTTGGATTTTTAAATCATTAACTGGAAGGTTGTTGTTGATCGTAAGACTTTTGTTTGATATTCTAGAATGAAAAACTAAACTCAAATGTGTCAGAAGTTTCACGAACAAGAAGAAAAAAAGGAATTATAAATAAAAATAATTTAAATAATTAAATAGGTTGTTAAAAGAAGTGATGCACAGGTTGTTACATCAGACCCGTACGATAATATAGTTATCATATGGTGCATATCTAAACCACATGGCCTTCAACTACATAATTTAAATATAAACCCATGTGTGACTAACTTACACACTAATGTATTGTATGACACTAATTACAGTAAATTTGCTATAATATTCTGTAAAAAAAAAGATCCGAATACAATTTATAAAGTTACAATTCAAAAAATTAAAAAAGACTGAATATTATTCTAGAAATATTAAATTTATATTGAAGTCATATAAAGAATGGATTTGATTGTTACGAAAAATAGTGTGGCAAAGTTAACAATTATACTTTTCTTGTATAACTTTATAATAGTTTTTCAAATCAACACAAGTCGATAGATCGAAAAGAAGATAAGCAGGGGAAGGTAACATTGTGATACCTGCGGATGAACAAGACCGAATTGGCATAATCAAGCTCAGGGGCAGTATTCGCGTAAGAAGATTCAGGTGAGTATGATATAATAACCTTACGGATACGGCAATCATTAATCCAATAAAGACTGCATAAGAATAAAGACCAAGACATGGCACCTCCTCAACTGTAGACCACAATTCACTACCCGATCTCTCTCTCCTAATGGAATCTGCCATTTTCATAATCACATTCTTATAATCACATTTCAGAATTATGGCTGCTGAATATCATTATTACATGTTCGTATTAACGACCAGCCTGCATTATGCAGGCAGGAAACCACTGGCCAGTGCCAAGCTGCACAAACTTAACTGCTTATGGTGATCTCCGGCGCAATATTAATTGCTATTTCCGGGTGCATATACCGTCTCAGTTTAATTATGCATAATTCACAACTATATAATGTAAAATGCATTCATCAAATAAAATTCATCTCCAGTGTACCAGACCGGATGATTCCAATTTGAACATGCTTGCAATGCTTTTTGATCTTATAATTAAGTAATGATCGAATATATACTTTGTCGATCATTATAACATTTTATAGAATTAGCTTATACTTTACATTTTGCATAATAGCTAATTAAAGTCTAATAGACAATATAAATAGAGGGTTATAGAACACTGGTTGGTTAGTCTTTTTGGATCTTTTTAGTTTTAGTGAGTGGGAAAATTAGTAGGTTGGTGAGTCGGTTAGAGATATTTGTTACTTCAATATCTTGTGCATAAATAATAAATACTGCTTCCCTATTTTAATGCTTATGACCCTAAGTTAAATTGGCTGTGTTGATATAAAGTATCTCACTGGTCGTAACACCCTTCCTCATAAATAGCACCTGGGTGGATATTATTCAAGAAATGTGATAGTTTTTGAATAGTATCCCGGGACTGTAGCTAGCGCCATACAGTAACAATAAAAATATTTATATTCTATATCTTGAATAGCTATGTATCAATAATTATTATGTGTATCCAGTACATATAAATTAATGATCTTTAACTTATTACAATCAGATTTTTATAATATGCACCTTACAATAATTCTTATGTTTTTTTTTTAATTTTCATGTGTTTTCAAGCAAAGCATTCAGTTCTTTCTCTAAGTAGATATCTATTATTTAACTATTATTAGCGATACATATCATGGATCACTTATGAGTGTTTTATAAATGATCATGCTGTAAAGACAAAAGACAATTATCATACACATTACAAACAGCGATCAGACAATGGATAAATACTAAGGTGAAGAGCCAAATATTTTGCTTCAAAGCACCAAACGATCTGGTTCTGAAGTTGTAATACCAAAAATCCATTTTGCTAGCAGGACAGAAATAGATTAGTATCATTTCACAGAAAATCAATTAACTGATAAGTATATTTTACTAATTTTATCAACAGGTTTTTTAAAAATTGCACTAACCTTAAATCTAATTCTAAACCTGACTTTAACGACAATAACTTTGTCAGTGAAATAACTGTCAGTGAAATAAACTTGTCGGTTAATTAATATTCGGTAAAATAATACAGATCTATTTCTGCTTTGTTAATAAAATGGATTGTCAGTATTACAACTTCGGTAAAATGGTATTTCAGAAACATGGACTTCAGGAAAGTGGGCAACCACCCAATGGGTTATGCAATTAACTAATAAAATAAATATACATGTATAATAATTGTAAACAAAGAACTTTCATGATTGACTTCAATAAAGAAACTTGAATACATTTAACAATTATAAACAGAATTCATAATTATTATGTGTTAATTGTGAAAATTCATTATGATTAAAATAATGCCCATGAGAATATATAAAACAATTGTTGTCAAATTAGGATTTAAAGAACTATATTGTTTTTTAGCTATTCAAAGTTTTATTCTTAACACATGATTATTGCAATCAAAGAACAATAATATTCTATAGCTATTTAATGCTATTGTTGTATTAATATGTTATATATTTTTTACTGTTTTTGATAGAACAATATAGCATTTAAGCCCTTCACCAAAATAAATCTGATAACTGATTATAATAAGTTTAGTTCTAGATTTTAGTTTGGCATTCAAATAATATCAGATATTCAAATTATAATCATGGTGTGAGCTAGCAGAATGATCTGGTATTGTAAAATAATTTTTATGTGCTGCATATCAGATGTGAGATTAGTTATGTAATATCAATTCTATTTAATTGTTTTTGGATTAGTGTATTTTGAAAATTCTATAAGTCTTGCATATTATCATTGTAAAACAATGTAATATGCAGGGTTCATTTACTACGCTAATTCAAAAGTAATATTAATTATCTGTATTATGAGTCTTAATTACAAATTACTCAGAGAGAACCCCAAAGTTTGAGCGTATTGCTGCTTCTATAACTAATATTCATAATCTTTACTAATTAAATAACCCTTTAGAAAATATAAACTTAAGCTACTAGATGCTGTAGCTTTAGTGTATCTAAAATTCGGGGACTGCTTTGGGTAATTTAATTAAATATATAAAATTTAATAAACTGTAACAATGCATGATATAAGCAATAAAAAAATACTGTTATAATGTTATTTTTGAACTCTAGCATTATTCCTATTGTTTTTAATATTGTTCTCTTTTTTTTAGAGTAATATGCACTTTAACGACTTAACATATTTTTTTTTTATATAAATATGAATAATATTTCTAAACAAGCTTTAGATTACAATGACATATAGTAAATAGTGACCATTTACCATACTACAGGCTATTGTTTAAAGTTTTTTTTATGCAATTCATTAAAATTATAAGTTGCAATATTTATATACTTAGTTAAGCATAATAGTTATTGCATTTAATAATTATTTTAGTTTTAGCAAGCTTAGTGTAAAATAATATAATTTTTTTAATACAATATTTTGTGTAAAATTTTATATATATACGTGTTGTAAAAAATATTTTGATTAAAATTATTATCTCTAACACTTAAATTTATATTGAAAATATGAGTGATCTAATACAAAATTATAATAACGAAGCACAATATATTTCAGATACTTCCGATGAATATACTTTCGACAAAGCAAAATCTTCAACAATTAATCAAAAAAAACGAAAATATACCAGAGGTAAAAAAGATGATGAAGTATGGAACGATGTTGTTAAAGGTGATAGTTTAGGACAAGGATTTTATAAGGCAAACTGTAAATGGTGTTCTTTAAATTGGTCTAGAGGACATCCACAAGAAATGAAAGTTCATTTGGCTAGAATTTGTAATAATGTACCTGAGAATATAAAAATAAAATGGCGAGAAAATTTAGCAGACAATATTTCAAAACCAATAATTTGATCAAAAAATATAATCCAATCAAATATTACTACACACTATCAGCATATTACACCTATTTCTGATGCTAAAGCTAAA